ATATTGAGAGGGAGGAGGAAGTAGAGAAAATACTTTCAAAGCTGAAGCCAGAGGAAATCATCCAGAACTGGTACTACTATTTAGAGAAGAAGATATTGTATAAAGTTCAAACCCTGGTTTTAGGGGCTGGGGCATTACTTAACTGTATGTGAGAAAGTCTCTTAAACTTAGAACAGGAGTTGCTCTGGTTTTGATCTTGTAATTAGAAACCTGCCCAGATATCTGGCTAAAATAAATGTTTAATTTTTATTTATAAGTTCATTTAATATTGTGATTAGGTTCATGTTAAGCTCATAGATGTGGGAGAGCTTACATTTGGGATACAGCTGAAAAGGAGCCCTATAGAAGTAACTCCTAGGGATTCTGCTCTACAAGGGATTACAGGACTTGGGTACTGGTAAGTCCCTCCCAGCAAGCTACGTGTGCTATTGGGGAATGGGTGTTGCTAGCTGCTGGCTTTTAGAAAGAATTCCTCTGCTAGTCACAGCCTGGAGCCTTTTTCACTTGGAGGGTGGAGGAATGATGCCTTCCAGCTCTCAACAAACCCTTATGTGCCAGCTTATCACAGCATTTGCAAATATATATCTTTAGCGTGAAATATTTATGCTATTCTTAGATATGTGGACAAGAATGACTGAACTTTCAGGAGGCTTTCTTATTTTCCTTTCTGAGGTTGTCCAGCTAGACTAGAAATAATTAACTAGAAAGCAAACCTGTCTCTGTTGCAAACCAAACGAAAAAGGATTGTGTAGAACTAAGTTTCTTTACCTGCATTGAGATATTGTTAGACAATAAGCAGCAGAGAGCAAATATCCATTTGACCTGTTCAAGTGACAGTTGAGATTCTGGACAAAAAGAGAAGAGCCTCGAGCAAACAAACAATCAGATGACAAATGTATGGTGACTCAACCATGGTACAAAAACTTCTTATGATCAAAGTACACTGAAAATGAACCTAACAAAGTTTAGCTATCAAGCTGGAGTACAAAGAGGTTAGGAAAAATGCAAACAGAATTTAAGCAAACTCTTCTGACTTTGAAGGTGTGGTTCAGGTGTTTACCAGGCATAATTTCAAATAGTTTTGCTGTCTAATCTGAACAGCTCCAATGTTGTTAGCAATGTTTCAATTCTAGGGCTGAAATTTAAAAACATCTGGATAATTTTTAAATGTATCATCTATGGCCAATTGTTAGTTTCACAATTATAGGTATACAAAGCAAAATAAAGATTAAAAATGGCATGGTTTACTCTCTACAAGGAGGAAGAGCATTCTCTCAACCTACCAATGTCTCAAATTAACTTAGAAATAGGATAAAAATAGGGAAAATTTATGAAAAACAGTTATGGAACAGAAAGCAGGAGACAAGTATTCCTTGGATGATATATCACAATGACACTAATTCTTCTACAGCAAATGACTGAGGCAAATACAATTATTTCATCTGGTATGTGTCAAGGCCCCAGAGTGATAGTTGCTAAATATTCCATTATTGACCTGCTGGTTTCTGATTACTTTTGAGAACAGGCATGTTATGTGCTTCACTTAGTCAGCTGCCAGTTTGTCCATGAAATAAATTATCTGGAAGGAGTGTTTTTGTAATTGTTATTTCTATAATCAGATGACTTGAGAAGGAAAAAAGGTTGTTTCAGATAAACATTGCGAGGAATCTGTAGAGGTTTTTGGGGTTTTTTCCTGTGTTCTCTTTATCTGATTACCGGTGCTTGAAATTTGGACATAACCCATCAGTCTTCAGTGCACAACCTTTTCTCCAGTTTGAGTATATGAAAAGTCTGCATCAAAAATACAACAGAATCTGCACTGCAGGATTAGAGCCTAATAGAAAGTTACTACCAAAATTCATCCCTTCTCAACCTGGAAGACAGGCTCGCTGGTGACATTGCTCTAGTAAAACACAGATTTGGTTCCTTTAGAGATTCTAGCAAAAGGCAGGACCTCTGTAGTATTTATAAAAAACAAATTATATATTTTTAGAGAACTGCAAACCTGTATTCTTATTTAATAGTTTAATCCCCTTGAAACAGAGTAAATCAAACTGCTTGGGAGAATTCCCTTTTTCCACCACTGGCTGACTATAAGGCAATCCAAACCCCTCTCTGATTCATGGGACTGTCATTTTCACTTGTACACGCTGCTTCTCGCTTCTGTTCTTCCTCACTAAACAGGTTACTGTGCCCATGTAGCAGAGCAGGAGA